TGGTGGAGGAATCGGGGTTGGTATCGGAGTAGGTGTTGGTGGTGGAGCTGGCAAAGGTGTTGGAGTAGGGAGTGGTTCCGGTAGTGATGGTAATGGCCGATGATAAATATTTCGTAGTCTTAAAGCTACACTTGAGCGCAGTACCAAGATACATAATGTTACTTTAGACTTTAAAGTTGTTAATGCTACAAATATAATTAAACTAATGAACTTGTATGATTTGGCTTTCATATGTATTATATTTTCCTTAATTTCCAATGTATCATCCTCACATTATTTATGAAAACATACTACATATGTGAATCTTGTTAAACTACTCATTTTGATTCATTTACTTATTATAACTCTGCTTCTTTAAATCATCGTAAACAAGACATAATTAGCTGATTCTTTTCCAATATAGAAATAAAAAATAAAGATTTTTGTTCGACAGAAATAAAAATCTATGTATTGATTAATTAAAGCACAAATTGCTTGGTATGTACCATAGTCACTACTTTTTTAACGAGTCCCGAGCTTAAAAGGTAAAAAAATTGACAAATTTTTTTAAAAGGTATATGATAAAACTTTTAAATCAAAGCAGTACAATCGCTGGTGATGTAGCGATTTAGGTGGGTGGCATTAAGGAAAATCACTACAGTAGCAACTATTTGTAAAATTTTCAAATCGCTGCCTTGTAAATGAATTTATTTTTAAATTGTAAATCGCTGCATGTGCAGCGATTTTACTTAATCTTTTTTAATTTTGAAGTAAATCGCTGCCTTGGTAGCGATTTTGGTTTATATTTTTTTTAAAAATTTGAAATAAATTAACATGTCAAATTTGTACAAAAAAAATTCACATGCATGTTAATATTTATGTCTGGATGTGAAATGTGAATTTGAAAGTTTGACAATGTGAATTTTTTTTGGCTAATAATAATTTATTTACGACAAAAAATTAAAAATTAAATAGGTTAAATCGCTGCCTTTACTTCAAAATTAAAAAAATTTAAGTAAAATCGCTGCATAGGTAGTGATTTACAATTTTTTTTTTAAAAAAAATCATTTACAAATCGCTGCCTTTAAAAAAAATATTTTTTTTTTTACAAATCGTTGCTACTGCAGCAATTTTCCTTAACGCCACCCACCTAAATCGCTACATCACCAGCGATTTTACCGTTTTGAGTTAAAAGTTTTTTCACATTACCTTTTGAAATTTTTATCAATATTTTTTATCCTTTAGGCTTGGGACTCACTTTTTAATATATATCATCATAAATCCACTACTTCGATAGGATATTTTATGTACCCTACTCAATAAATTCTCCTTCATCTTATTGTCAAAAAAGTATGCTAGGACCTAACTTTATCTAAAAAAATTAATATGCAACTCCTTCAACAGATCAACTTTATATTTGCATTTAATTTCCTTACTCTCATTTGCACGACGTACAAATCATTTCAATGTATGTCTTTTAGTTTTGATCTAACATAAAGTTTTTTTAAAGTGAATGAATGGAATTTTCGGATTTTAAAATCTAAGTGTAACAATGTACTAAACTGGCCTTGAATGTTGTGGTCTAAAATGACATGTAGGGTGTTTGAGCTAAAGAGTTAACTCTATCAGTGCAATGTGTTTGTCTTAGTAACTATTTGGACAGTCTAAGTGTTTTTTTCTATCATAATTTTTTGAAATGTCTTCTAAATATTTTGAATTGATAACTATCGTAACTTATTATACTTTCTATATAGTTTATAAATATTTAAATTTTATTTCAAACAATTGAAGATTGTATATTCGACTTCACATAGAATATTAGTCAATTTCACTCTCGTATTTTTCAAACCAAACCAAACAAATTGAAACACAAAAGCACGTAATATAAACAATATTGAAATTATGTTTTAAACATATAAATAAAAAAAGGTGAAACACATCGAAATAAAATAAGAGAAGTAATGAAATGGATATCGACACTTATATACCTTAATATTCCCTCCGACCAGATTATTGACGCTATTGAACACTCAAATTTGATGGAAGGAGTAATTTTAAGTGAAGCTTCGTAGGCCCTGTTGAAGGGAAAAAAGAAGGAGAATTTATATGAATTCCACTAGTTTAGGAGCTAATTACTTAGATATACGTTAGTTTGAGCTAATTACTTAGATATACGTTAGTTTGAAATATTACGTATCTTATCATATTCTGATTCTAGAGTTAACTAGATACATGTATCTTGAATACATGATGTCAAATTTTGATGTAATTTATTCTAGATACGTAGTATCTAAGTGGATTCGCATGTATATGGAATATATAGCAAATCTCACTTGCCTCCCTTCCAGTCTCGCTCATCTCTCCCTCCCTAATTTTGTGTATCTGATAACAAAAATATACATGTATGCAAGTGTGAAATACGTAGAAAATTCTTGAGTAGTAGTAAGATACGTTTTAAATATAGATAAAAGTAGTGTAAATGATAGCGAAGTATATCAAATAGTAACATTGTAACTTAGGCCTCATTTTTTTGTACTTAATGGTGGTCTGATTCTTAATTATTCAAATTCAGCCCATTGAGTGCGTTTGATTTTTAGGTTTGAATCTGAGTGATTCAAATTCAAACCATTAAGTCCATCTGTTTCTTTTTTCAAAAAGTCTCTTAATAGATTTGAAAAGGTCTAAACGGATCAAGTCTGTAGGAGAGTTTTAACAACATTTACACTTATTTAATAAGTTATACGATAATACTGTGTTGCCTCTATCAATCTTTGCATAACTTTTGCTCTCACAGCTACAACTTTCTTCCTCTCTTTTCTCAATCGAACACTAATCTTCTGCTCTTGAACTGATAAGTTTTTATAATCTTTACAAGTAATTTTTTTATATTAATAATTTTCTTAGAGTGTATTGATGTTTGTTGAGAACACTTATTGCAATAATATTTTCGTGTATTAATGTTGATCAAGGTTTTTGAATGAAAAAATACTACTCACAATTAAAAATAAGAACCATGTATACATATTTGAGGTCTCTCATTAAAATAATTGTCTTAGGGCCAATAATTTTATTGAGACTCTTTGATAATCAAGCCTATTTGTGAGATAACACTAATATATTTTTCTTCTTGAACTAGTTGGTGATAGAAATAATGTAGTTTATAATAATTCTTCATCCCGATCTTCACCATCCCAATCTTCAATTTCAGTTGGAAAAAAAAAGTTTTGGGGAAGATAAGAATAACTTATTCGTCTCAACTGGAAATTGATGAGAAATAATTTACTCTTTTGGAATCCTTGATTAAAAAAATAGTGCACCCACATTTGAAGAATATATGGAAAAAAAAATAGTTGTGCTTGAATGGGAAGAGTCATTATACAATACATGTGTTATGGGAAAGTGACACCTACAAAAAAAAATATGAATAGCGTTAGAGGTTTTCAAGTTAGAGAACTAGATTAAAGTTATTTAAAAAAAAAAGGATAGGAATTCTTTAGTTTTGCTAATTAGCTAAAAATAGAATTGGATTAAGGTTATTGAGAAAAATAAATAAGAATTCATTAGTTTTTCTAATTAGCTAAGTATCTATCATACTTATTGACATGTTTGATATCATATTGTGCCTATAAAATACTTTTTATTCGCGAGTTTTTTATGTTATGTTGGATAATTATGATTTTTTTAATTAAAAAGTAATTTTTTTTGTTGAAATGAAATTTTTATAACATTTTATTTATATAATATTTGATGTCATATGTACATTCACATATTGAAAATAAGTAATCTTAATCATTCACAGTTCAAATTTAATTTAATGACCATCTTAATATTCAGATCTCTACACTTAAATCTTAATATATAAATATGTATGTAGATCCAGACCTCTTAATTCTAATAAAAACAAATAAAGCTTAATCTCATCTAAATATATTTACCAATTACAACCACTGTATAATCCAAACATTCTATGGAAGAATAGACATAATTATTATATAGTAATAAAGACGATGGCCCATTTGCCATGCCATTATACAATGTCAACATTAATATTGGTTGGTGTTGGTAGTAGCTAGCGCTAACGAAGTTTCGATCTAAAGAAATAAAGACTAGAGATAGCCGCCTATAATTATATGGTACATTTGGCCATAAAAATAGTGAATATTGAATAATAATTGTTTCAAAATAAAAAGATCAGATTTGAAAAAATTGAATTCAGAAGATTTATGACAAACGTGTTTTCTGAAGTTAATTTACAAGAAAAAAAGGTTAAAATAATTCATGGGCGAAATTTGGAGACCATTCCTTTGTGCAATTGTTTTATTATATGTAAATTATAAAGATTTTAGTACTATACCAAATATATTAGTAGCAATATCTTGACTTATTCCATTGGTTCATTTAATGTTCCCGCCAGTTCCCCAACGGTTCAAACGCGTGAATTTAGCATGCATGCAGCTTTACACATTATAGGCATTAATGGCTTCAACTGACAAGCGAGTTGGGATTACTAATAATATCAAAAAGTTGTCAACTTGGGTGATCGAGTAAGCCTATATAAGTGTTCACAAACTCTGAGTAAGGAAGAGCACAAGTAATCTTATATATCTGAGAAGTTTTGTGATAATAGCTAGCTAGTCATGGGTTCTTCTTCTCAAAAGAGGGTTGTAGTGTTACTTCTTGTCTTGAGCATTTTCTTGGAATTGAGTGCCATCACTTTTGGTGATGATAAGCTTGAAGAGTTGAGGTGGGGTAATGATAATGGTTGTGGTCGATTTGGTAGGAGAGGTTGTGGTGGACGTGGAGGATGGGGCGGACGCGGAGGACGTGGTGGATGGGGAGGGCGTGGTGGACGTGGAGGAGGTGCTGGAGGAGGTTTTGGAGGCGGAGCTGGAGGTGGAGTGGGTGGTGGGGGAGGTCTTGGTGGAGGAGCAGGTGGTGGTGGTGGACTAGGTGGGGGAGGAGGAGGAGGTCTCGGGGGAGGAGCGGGAGGTGGACTAGGTGGAGGAGGAGGTCTCGGAGGTGGAGGTGGACTAGGTGGAGGAGCGGGAGGTGGAGTAGGTGGCGGAGGAGGTCTTGGGGGAGGAGCAGGTGGTGGAGGTGGAGGAGGACTAGGGGGAGGAGCAGGTGGTGGAGCTGGTGGTGGTGTAGGTGGCGGTGCTGGAGGAGGTGTTGGTGGAGGTGGTGGATTTGGTGGTGGTGGAGGAGGAGGTGTAAGTGGAGGTTCAGGTCATGGTGGTGGATTTGGAGCAGGAGGAGGTGTAGGTGGTGGTGCAGGAGGAGGGCTTGGTGGTGGAGCTGGTGGAGGTGGAGGTAGTGGTGGTGGAGGAGGTATCGGAGGTGGTTCTGGACATGGTGGAGGTTTTGGTGCCGGAGGTGGTGTTGGAGGAGGTGCTGGAGGCGGAGGTGGAGGAGGAGGCGGTGGTGGTGGAGGAGGAGGTGGCGGTCTTGGAGGTGGTTCAGGCCACGGTGGTGGATTTGGTGCAGGTGGTGGAGTTGGAGGCGGAGC